CCTATGCATGTATGAGTCGACATAAGCACTGAATTTTTTCACAAACACTTGATTTTTGACTTATAAAACATCTCTAACATGATTTTAAGTTTTCTAATATGAAAATACACATCTAGATTATAGACTAAGGTCTAATGTACAAATACTATCTAGTTTTGACATCATTCAAAACATGTAAAATGATAGTGCACTCACATCCTTGTGACTTATTTTCCTTTTATGTTAATCTAAAAATTAGTATAAATAGGTGTCCAATTACACAATAGAGGGGGGGAAAGGAAAAAGTCAAAAAAAAGTCTCAAATCTTTCCTTGTCTATCACATATTTTTAGAAAAAATTACACACAAAAAACACAACATCACAACTTCGGTGAAGCATCGACGAGCTCCATCACGAGCCACCCTTGTCCACCGTCAAGTTTTTACTTCAGGCTGCAAACCACCATAAAAAAAGATTATGCCTATTTTTCAAGCTTCTGGTATGATCTCTTTCTCCCAATTTTACTTTCATACGTTGTTGTTGTGTTAAGTTGGAATAAGGATTTTAGGATAAATGCATCAACTGGATTTCTTTATTGTTAGATTTCTTTTCTATTTTTTGTCCCGTATTTTTTTGTGTATGTGTGTGCATTTTTACTTGTATATAGTACTATAAAATCATGAATGTATATGATATTATGATGAGTGTTAATCTTAATTAATTGAGTTCATTCTAAAAATAAATAATAAATAAAAAATAATTCTTATTAAAGCGTTATTTTTTTTCTTTTTTCATGAATATCTAACCTATATAAAATCTTTAGATTAGATAAATTTCACAACTTATTATTAAAAACGGTTTAGAATATTGGGATCGTAACAAATTAATTTTTTTATTTTCTAAAATCTCATAAATTCAATTCATCATTAACCTTATAAAATTAAATTGATAAAATAATTATTTTATTTTTTATAAACAAACTTGGATTAAAAAAGAGATTCGACGGATGTACATTCACATGTTCCTCGAATATAGGAGGTTTGGTTTATTTGTATTCCAAACTAGATGAAGCTTGTCTTTGAGAGACAAAACAAATGATTGAAAGTTGCACACTATTTACGGTAATTTATTTGAAACCTTTACTGTTACTAGTATTTTTACAATAAATTATTACACTTGTTACTAATATTTTATCTAAACTATTTACATGTGTGGTCATCTCTCACTTTCCTCGCATATCTCAATGGGAACCTGAAATGGACTATACTACGGACTGGTCACGCCCTTAGGCACTTGCCTCGTACAAAAGGAATCACATGATATAGTTATACATGGTTTTTATCGATCGTGATGTAGCATATGTCATATACTTCTTCACATACGAAGGACATCGTCAAACGCATCCTTTGGACAACATAGCCTTTTACTCTAGATGGTGTGATTATGAGTCACTTCTGATGTATCTACATCTGACTGAGCGGGTCATGCGCCAATTCAGATATCTTCATATGATTCTAAGAACTCCCTTTGTGCTTGTTCCTTTGACAGTCCTCCGCAGAGATCTTGATGACATACTCGATGATTTTTATAGTCATATTATACCATATGAGTCACGCAGTGTACCAGCGAGTAAACCACAGGCTTATGAGCAGGGTTACATCTAATAATTCAATCGATTTTCACATCCTTACATGACACCAAATGTCATGGAAGCACCATCTGGACCAGCTCATCGGAAGATATTGGAAGAGGAGCAGGTTAGGGATGAACACGCAGCAGACTTGTTGTCGGTCAGTCAGTGTATTACAATGATTGTGAGAAATGCTTTAGAGAGAGGATACATTGCAGAAGACATTCTTGGTATGGCCGCCTTATAGGCCATATAATCTTACTTGAGGCACGAAATGCCTTAGGGTACTGGCGGTGGTAGAGGAGAAACAATGGTTAGAAATATACAGTAGTTTATTTTTATTTGTATTTTGGTAACATTTGTATTTTTTGAACAAATTATATATAATGGTAACGTTTTTGACTACTTGATTAATATTTGAAATTGAATTTATATATAACATGTTTGAATTATTAGTATACTTAGTATGATGCTAATGTATCTTTAGTGTAAATGACCTAAAAATATCAATTTGGGACACTTGCTACCAAGACAAAATCTCTCAAATCCTTTCAGAGATTATTCAAGAGATGCACTTATGGATGACCCTAAAAATTTACGGAGATGCATCTCGGGTCCATATTTTAACAAATATGAGGTAGATGGTTCACTTGTGAAGTGTATGCATTTTATGTGTGTCAGGAGATGCATCTCTAAAATATGAAAAGACATTTCAATTTATTCACCCTTACCCTATGGGGTGGATAAAGTAATACCCTAATAGTTCTTTGAATTTGTTTATGGGTCAGGGTATTCAAAATCCGTCTAATATACCCAATGTCATTAGACTCAAAACTCTCTAAGATTTCTCTTATATGCTTCATTTGGTAACCAATGTGAGTCATATCATTTTTCTAAGTGTCATTATCCTCCTTCCTTCTCACTTTATCCACAATTGTAGCACTACCAATATTCACTTGGTTCCTCTTCAACCCCATGTTACTAGCAACCCTGAGCACATTTATAATCGCTTCAGTTTCAACCGTAAGATGGTTGTTATATCCTTTATGATTCCAGCTTATCTAAATTGTGATATGTTTTGTCTCATTATGGATAATAGCTCCGAGATTCTGTTCACCTTCAATGGTCATATTGATGTTAGTGTTGATGATGAACTTTTCTCAATTTTAGGGTTTTTTTGCACCATTATCATATTGATATCAGTGTTGATGATGAACTTTTGTTGTTTTCAATTTTAGGGTTTTTTGTGTACCATTGTCTTCAATGTTTCTGGTGCTTATTGTTTCTCCGATCTCTTAGGGCTTTTCGTACCATTGTCTTCATCATTTTTAGTGCTTATTGTTTTTCCTATCTCTTTTTGCTAGAGCTTTCTTTTCGCGTGTGGATCCAATTATCGATTTTCATGTTATTGTGTGGGTTTTCTTCTAAACACTTGTGTAGTCACAATTTTAAATAAAAATTATTGTGCACCCACAATTAAATGATGCATGTTTTTTAAATAAATTATGCAAGTCAACCTAAAAGATTGTTATTTATCCCTTTTTCTTTTATCTCATATTCTATGCTCGAATCATCATCCAGAATAGTTATTGAGTATGTATTGTAGTGCGCCACTACTTCCACGGATACCCGGTTATCTGATGCATTATTGTTGTATAGCCGTATTTCGAAAGTGCTCTATCTAGATAATTGGAGAACCAAATGTGCTATGAGTGCTCTAGAGATAATGAGCAAAAGAAAGAGAATAAAAAAACCAGAAAAGCATATTGCAATCTAAAATAGTCTACCCACAAAAACATCGACTAATGAGAAGAAACCATTTGACTAACAAGTGAAGACAGAATCTTCAATTTGTCATTTTGACTAGATCCCAACTTAGAAAGGAAATCAACAGTTTGAGTAACATGAATAGACCATTCCAACTTCAGCAAATCTTGAGTGCTATATGACTGTAATATCATATATCAATGGGGTGTATGACTTCAACTGTTGAGATAATTCATGATTATAAAAAGAGACATGTGAAGAATTTAGGAGGGGCGAGTTTGTTCATGAATATTGGGGTCGGCATTAAGAAATTGGAGCAAGAGGCAGAACAATATTATTTATTGCCGCGTATGCAGCAGTGATGGAACTGTATGAAGATTGACTTACATACACTTGCACATTGCTTACAAAGTACTAGTGTTCTAACCAAGTTGACTTGAAACATAAATATGTTTTGGGACTGTATAAAGATTATGATGAGCAATCCCGCAAGAGATTGTAGGTAGACTTACAGGGGAGGGCGCCGATTAAGAACTAATGTCATGCTAGAAATTGGCCAAGTGGATGGGGTGATCAATATACCTGAAAATATTTGACTAGTTGAAGAGAATAATAAACATATGCCTCTTGCCAAGAGCATTACGCCTCAGAAGATTAGTCAGGATAATCAAGACAATCTCATAAGACAAACTAATGTACTTTTTGAACCTGAAACTTTCTTTACCTAAGACAGACATACCATCTACTTGTCTAAAGTTTGTGACCAAAACAAAAACCAAAGCTTTTGAACCATGAGCTTACCACATCCATTCCATTTCGCTATTAACCATTGTAACTTGATATGCCTTATATCATATTGCTGGTATGGCCCTTGACTACACAACAAAAACGGTTTCTTATAACATGCAGTCTCCCTCTTACAATTACAATAAGAGTTGCCAAACAACAATGGGTCTAGACAACGCTCACCAAACAACATGTGCATAGAGACCATTAGTGTGTCATGTGAAACACAAGTTTCATATCACATACGACTTTGATAACAGCATAGGTATATAATGGGATGAATGGTCAAGAAAGCAACCAATGCAAATGAAATTCAATTTATACATTAACAAAAAAACAACTCAACAAACAAATTGAAACAAAGTCAATTCATCATGCCATTTCAATTGATGAAATAGTTCACCCACACAGACCACCAGAAAATGAATAAGTTAGTTGCATAAAATATAAAGCTATACAAAACCAATAAATCTATCTCCATCAAAATTCTAGTTTTCTTCTAATTCTAATCGACTTTTTTTTTTGTCTTTCAGACCATCATATCTCCATCAAAATCATAATTTCTAAACCAACTACTACCAAAATCGACCAAAGTGATCATGAAAGAATCAACTTCCAAACATCTCTTCCAAAAAATATAAAATTAAAATAACATAGTCAAATACTATAATGGGTTAACTTTTGAAGATTGAGGTAGATAGAGTTTTAACTGCCGCTCCCTGACTGTAGAGAGAGCTGAGACCAACAGGAAGACTCTCCTACAAATCCCCATTTGTTGTAGCATTGGAACTTGTATGGATAGTTGCTTCGTCTAGAGTGATCTTATCGAAATCAACGGCTATGTGATTGCAATTTGATCCACTTGGGATACAGAACCAGAACTAGCCCTTTGGTGAACAGAGGGCAGCCACCTCATCCAGTCATTACGCCTCCTCAGCTTGTCACCCTATCGCAAAGTTGAAAATGAGAAAATGAGAAACTAGTAAAATCATAATAAAACTAATAACCTTTGATACTAATACTATTGAAATGTATCTCAAACAGAAAATACAATATAACAGCTTACATGCACTTCCACGATTGACGAAGTTCTCAATGAATCCAAAATCAACTCAACGTTACTGGTCAAACTTTTAACCTGCAAAATGACATTTTTAAGAGCAAGAACAAAATATTACTACAAAATACAATATAAATGAAAGTTTAATCAAGTTAAAACCTGAATACTGGCGGAGCATGAAAACTTATCGGCACCCGGTAGTACAAGGATCAATTCACAACATATAGATTAATACTATTAACAATTAAAATCTCAATTACTTTGTAGTTTGTGTGTTGATGTTTCAATTTTTTTACAAAAAACTAGGCAATATGACATCAGCACCAATAAAATCTAGTTTTTCTTTATTCTTAGCTCGTCTGCTATTTAATATTTCAATATACTAACTGCATCTCAATTAACTCACTTTATGACAAACTGAAAAAGCAAAATCTTCAGAGGTAATAAAACTAGGTTTATATCTAAAAAAGTAACTATATATAGTCTATCAAAAACATGTGGCTAGTAAATACCTAAAATTTCTTAATCATAAAATCAAAGAAGCGACAATTAACTTACTCGAGGGAAGTTTGCAATCACACTAATTGGAACCCAGCCCTGTTCGTCCATGTTGAGCTGCAGATAGTCGTCTTTCTTCGCTAAATTAACATCGCTGTCAAAAATATATCAGATAATGAATAAAAATTTGCCAAAAAGTAATAGAGCAAAAAACAAGAAACAAAAGGGACTTGTGGATACAATAAATTGATTAAAAAATCACCTAAAGTAATAGTCAATTTGCTTGACTATTGCAAGGGTCAGAGGATTCTCTGGAACTGGGACAAACACAGCTGGAGGAGGTGGATGAGTCAAAAATGGCACACCTCCGAAGGGTTCGAGTTGAACTGTTGGATAATAATAGTATTCTAAAAAGAAAAGAAAAGATTAGTTGTGTCTTGTAGTAGAAACAAGATTGAATAAACAAATTAATAAACTGACCAGGGAACCCAGTAGGGTTTACATAGGGTCTTATAGGCTGAGACCCTAAAAACGTAGCAGAGTTAGGTCCTGTGGGCCTTGAAAATCTCCCAGACTGCATCCTATGTTGATGTCCATGAACATCTCTAGTGTTTATATTTCCGGAATCCTGATTGCGCCTAATGTTGTTGTTATGAGGACGGTTCCCATAATTACCCCTACGATTAGGGTTCCTGTGCTCATCCACCGACACCCCATAAGCCCCAACGGGTCCTCTTGGACCCCAGCCATTGTTGTTCCGGTAAGGCGGAACCCCGTTGACAAAGGTTGTATTCGGAGGGATCTGAATCACAGGATATGGCGGAGGAGGAGCCTGTGGTCGAAGATCAACCTGAGGGGGTGGGTTGGAGAAGCTGTTCGGAAAAGAACCAGGCCCATTGGTAATGTTGCTACTGCTGTTGCCTGCTCCGCGCCTCATCTGTTGTCTATTAGCCCCACCATGATTCACCGGAGGAGTAGGTTCCACACTCCCATTAGCAACGGCTTGTTCTCGAGGGTTGTTCAATGTAACAGGTCCCTAGAAGAAAAAAATTAACAGCAAGAAAAAACATATAATTGGAAAATAAAGAGACTACTACATATATGAACGATCATTCCATGATTATGTTGTAATCTGATATTCACCTTACCAAAAATTTCATGATAATAACAAAAGTAACAAAAACAAATCAAATACTATTCTTTTGATCAAATGAAAACAAATTAACATGTATTTCTTGAAACTCAATGAACAAAACACAACCTAATTGCATAATTGAGAGCGTTGTGAAAACCTAACCTGAGGAACGGAGGTTGATCCCTCAGCAGAGGATGAGGCATCAGATGCCAATTTCGCAGAATTAGCCGACAAAGCAGGCCAAGACACCGCACCCATAACCGGACTCACCTCAGCAACAGCACCATTGGGAAGATTATTCCAAGCAGATCTCCTAGGGTTAACCGCATTGCTCTCCTTATCAGCATTAGAGCTTTCACCGGCAGCAACAACAGGAGGAGCAACGGAATCGAGAGACGACGTCGAAGACGACTCCGGCGGCGATTTGTTTTCGACTGAATCGGAATCAGCGCCACGAACAATCTGCGCCCAGGGAGAGGTTAGGTTATTTCGCGGGAAGTTGGCGGCAGGGTTAGCAGTAGAAGACGAATCAGGAGGAGGAGGAGGAGAAGACATTGCTGATGATTAGGGTTTCTGATTCTGAAAAAACGAATGCAGAGAGAGAATCGATTTATCGATCGGTCGATTAGCGATTAGTGCGAAAAGAAAAGGATTGAAAAAGAAATAGCCATGAATGATAAATGAATATCAAGAGATTAAGAAAAAAATTAAGGATTGGATTAGGGTTTGTGTTGGTAGAATGAATAGATTAAGATCTAGTTATTATTGTTCTCTCACTCTCCTCAACACAGAGCCAGCCATGGTTGGTTTCTTCTTCCGCTCCGATTTACGGCCCCTCAAACTCAGGGAACTGAAGCATCTACTATGTGACATCACATTATAAACCTAATACAAATATTCATCTTTTTTATTTTTTTTTATTTTTTTGCTTTTAAATTTATTATTTCGTAAATAAACCTCCTATTTAGTCGCTAACTATTTTGATTTGGGCCATGTAATATATTAAAATCTTGAATCCTTAAATTTCGTCATTCCGTTAGTCATGTAATTAGGTGTCAAAATGATAGTCTTTGCTACGTGTAAGTAATTATATCTCTATTTATAGATATTTATGCTTTTTAAATATGACAAATATATCTATAAGTTATTAAACTAAAAAAAACGTGATAAATGTATTTATTTAGTTAACGAACTATAAAATAGATATTTATAATAATAAAAAATATAAATGTTAATTTTGCTCTTTTTTTTTAAATTTGCCTTCCTAAGGGTTTTTTTTATGACCGCTTTCTCGTTGGAGTTTGCATCTATAAACTATAATTCATAAACGCAAGAAGATGATCATAGAGGATGAAGTACAAAGAGTTAAAGATTATTGATCTTATCGGATCAGAAATGGACCGTCACAGTTGGTTCGGGCAGAAGTTGAATGAAATGGGAGTACCTGCAAGACATTCTGATGACAAAGTAAGAAGCGGAATGAGCAAATAAGTATGAGTTCTGAGATATGAGTTGAATACCTGACTCTCTTGGAAGAGAGGGTATTTATAGCCCCTAGCGTTGGGCCAATGTCTCTTTATTGGGCTGATCAAACAGGCCCAACATAGAGACTGTCAGGTTCTACGTGTGTAGTGGAGACCCGCACGTGGCCCTCTACCTGGATGACGTCCTCCGCAAGACCGGGAGATAGGGACGCGATCTTTTCGGGGCCACGAAGACTCCGCGAAATCTAGAGAGGTTGGAGGTCAGCCCTACGAGGAAGGTGCTCGGGAGGAGCGCCTGCTCGTCAGAGATGGTCTCTGCGAGCACCGACGGGAAGCAGTCTTGGTCGACAAGACCTCTATGGTCGGGATGTACTCGGGGAAAATACCGCTCAGTGCAGCAGGTTGGCATGCTTGGATTGGGCCTCACTGGTAGTTGGGTCAAGGGCAGGCCCAGTCCAGAACAGGAGCCCCCCAAGTCGTTGCTCCTAGTGAAGGAGTTATGACTTGATTCAAGTTTGCCCCTTCGCGAGACTCGCTGCGCGGTATGGAGTTTTTCCCGTGGACGGAAGACGGCGTTTGGTTCATGATTTGCTTCGTGGAGTGGTCGAAGAGTGTTCGAGGAATACTCACGGGGAGAGGATGATACGCTAGTCAGACACATGGCGTGGCTCTTGGAAACCACGATGATGGCCTAGGGAGTAGGGGCCATCATTGTCTATGTGAGTAGGTGTCGAGGAGAAAGGCGGCTTGTGGTTACCCGACGCGATGTTTCACATTCTGCGTCAGCTCTATAAATAGGGCTTCAGGGCCTATAACTTTTTTTCACATTTTCGCGCTCCCACATTTTCTCTTCCGTCAACACCGCGCGTTTTCCCAGAGTCATTGAGACTGCCGCACAGTCCACCGCGTACTTATCTCAACAACTGTCGCCCATCATCTTTCCTCCAAGTAAGCGTTCTTTTTCCTTGATGTCTTGTGTTGTAGATAGATTTTGATGGTGTTTAGTGGTAGGATTTCGTGTCTGGGGGTTATGCCCGGGGAATTCAAGCGTTTTAGGCGTCTGATTCATGATCATGCCCGTGGCGTTCATACATTTAGGCATATAGTTTATGATCATGCCCGTGATATTCATGCGTTTAGCTAACAAATTTATGGGCTTGATTGTGAGATTCACCCTTTCGTTAGTATATAGGCTAGTTTTCCACGTGGCCTTCTTGTATCTGGCTAGCAATGTTATGAACTTGGTCGTGAAATTCATCCTTTGCTCGCGATATTCTTACTGTGCTCGCGATATTTATGATTGATATAGACGTTCGCCATTAAGATCAGTGTTTGATCGAGGTCCACATGTTCCCCCTCTTTCGTGCGGATGGTCGTCGACTTGGTCTGAGTGTCGCTTACCCTCCCCGTCTATGTCGCGGAAAAGCGGATTTATTGTCGAATTCACCGGTTTCTTGTACTTTGCAGGTAAACGGCCGATACTCCCGAGTCCCCGGAGCATATTGACACCAAAGGAACCAGCATTGTCGAGGAAAGCATTAATCTGGTCGACACTGTCGACGATCCTACTCAGAACTGGGTCGTTGCGGAACCCCGAGGGATAGCCTCGATCTATAGCTATACCGGCAGGCAAGCTTATACGGTCGTCGAGTACGGTGGCAACCAGGAGGGGTTTCAAAGAAATTTTAAGATCATAAGGCTGACACAGGACGCCCACATTTGCTCGAAGTTTACTCAGGATGCCTTCCCTATGTATGAGATCATATTTAAAGATCTCGGGCTCCGGCTTCCTTTCAACGACTTCCAGATGGGAGCGTTCAATCACTTGAACTTGGCTCCCTTCCATATTCATCCCAATGCGATTGCCTTTATCCGGGCGTTCAAACTTACATATCATTTCCTGAGGATCGGGGCAACGATTCCCCTATTCTTTAGGGTTTTTCACCTGCAACAGCAATCCTGAGGAAGGAAGCATAGCTGGGTGTCCCTTAAGCAGTCGAAAAGGCTGTTTAGGATGTACATGGATTCTGTTCGGGATTTCAAGGATAAATGGTATATTTTGCAACCATCTACCCAGACAGTCATGGATTCGTTGTTCGAACTGATTGCCATGGTGGACGAGGACGGGGAACCGTGTTTGGACTCTGAGGTTAATCCTGAGATGGGGAAAGTCTAAAAGTTTCCCATCCACTGGTGCTCGGGCCATTACGACCATGGACCTGGATATTACCATACTCTCGCTAGCGGTATGAGCGCCGAGGAGGCATATGGCATCCTGAATAAATTTATTAATAGTTTCTTCCCTGCTTGGTGGGTTACGAGGAAAGGGAACGACATTCTTGATGAGGATGGCGAGCCGACATTCGAGGCATGTCCGATCAACACTAAGGCGTTCGTCGAGTGTCAGTCTTACGGACAGGCCGTAGAGCTCTTAGGTTTCTTGCTTACTCTATTGATAGCCTTCTTTTTTTTTCTTCGACGTGGCTAACCCAAGCACATTTTCTTTGCGGGTCACATGGCAGAATATCGAGAGAGATTGCTGAAGCTGACCCAAGATAAGAAGATCAATAAGAGGTTGGCGAAGCCGCAACAAGCTACGCGTATGGGTCCGACCCCCGAGTCGGCCAGGGAAGGATCCAGTGGGTCCTCAGGTTCTCGTGACACCGAGCGCCAACCTGCGTTGCTTAGAAAGAAACAGAGTTGACCAGAAGGTGGAGTTGAGGTGACCGGTGGAGTGGCGGGTGCCCGAGCCTTTAGCATGTCATCCTATTTTGTGGAAAAAGACTTCTTTGAGGGGTTTCCCTTGACTGTATCTGACAACGAGGCCGATATCATCAGACGGCTCGACATGTAAGGTCAGAGGAAGCACCTCGCTGCCAACATGATCGGGGTGGTGAAGATGGCTTAGATGGCGGTTGTCCTTGCGGGTGAAGGGTCAGACTCCTCGGATTGGGTTAAGGAGCTGGAGTCGAAGAAGGCGACTCTCGTGGCAAAAACTCACAAACTGAAGACTGCTCTTGAACGATTCAAGGAAATGTTCCGGGAGCAGTTCGACGTGCTGTCGGGGGAAAAGGAGAGGGTCGATAGAGCCCTCAAAGACAAAGAATGCCTCCAGCTCGATAAGGAGCGGTTGGAGAGTGACAACCAACGGCTGTTAAGAGAGGTTAAAGATCTGAGGGACTTTATACTGCCCGCGGAGGGTGAGCCTGAAGGGGTGGCCGACTTGTGCACGCGTTCTGATTTCATCGCTCAAATTCAACTTCTGGAGTCGGACTGTGTTGATGCTTTAGCTGATGGCGTTGAGTCTGCTGTAAATCAATTGTCCATGCTGAACCCGGGGTTGAATACTGAAGGGACTGGGGTTCTGTCCCAGGTTATTGATGGTCGGGTGGTCCCTCCTCCCAACTCTCCTGATGTCGAAGTTGGCACTCCGAGGAGTGATTAATGTTTTTATTTGTGTATTTGGGCCTGCGTGCCCGCTGTTATTCTTTTAGTTTTGTGGTCGTCGTGCCTAAATTGTAATTTTGGACAACGTCGGCCCTTGTGGTCGGCATATTATAATTACTTTGTTTATTATTGTCTATTTGATGAATGCTTTGTTTATAGTAGTTATTTGATGAATAACAATATTTGATGTATGTGCCTGACTATTATCGTGGTCGTTATAAATTTTTCACGAAGTTCGTGTTCGTGTGAAGATACCCGTTCGACCCTAATGTCAGTTCGACGCACTTCGAAATGTGTCGAGGGCGCGGAGCAGGGATCTGCGGGACAGGCGTATGATCGGGATCCTACGCTCGTGGCGTGAACTGCCCATCGCGAGCAAGGTGTTCTGCCATGTTGGGGTACTTTGACAGCGAAGCTCGATCGAGGTGTCTCTGTCGGGCACGTACGTTGTTTGTCAAGGTGAACAACATTATACCTTTGTTGGTTGGTAGGTCGGGTTCATACCTCGACACGCCTACGTGGTCGAGCCTTTCCCTCCGTCGACTGAAGGTGAATATTTGACGGCAAAAGTCCTCAGCAGGTGAGGGACTTCAGATATAATATTGTTTAAGCTTCGCAGCATTC